CCTGCCAGAGCCTTGCCAGTACCCCTCAGTTCTAGTTTTCAACAGTGTTGTTATTCCAGTAATGTCTCTCTCTTAAGCTGTAGCTGCCAATTCTGTTCAAGTGCGTGGCAGTTTTCTGCTACGGGCAAAGTGCTGCCACCACTGAAGCTGGATCCATCAAACTCATCTCATGGCCAAATTTTGATTTCTTCACATACCACAGTGATTATTTGTTGGAGGTGAGTTAGGCACCTCTCTGGAATACAAAATTATTTGTGGTACCAAAGAAACTAAGCTATGTTTCAGTAGTCTGGAAAGTAAAAAAGTGTGAAAAGAAAATGCCTCAATGTACGCCATGAGAAGTTGCGAGGTCTGGTAGGCTTATGTTTTCATCTTAAAACCTAGCTCCTTCAGGAGAGAAATTCACATTTCCCCTAGAAAAACTGCTGCAGACGGGAGAGTTAACTGATACACAACCTCTTCAAAATCTACCCAGTAAGGAGTAAAGACCAAATCTGACAGTGAGAGTGAGATCTAGTGAGAGACTGCTCACTAGAATAACATACTCATTATGCTTTTATCCTCCTTCCTCTTTTCTCCATTATTATGAGGAAGGCTGAATGGATTAAAACTGATGAGATGATAAAATTTTTGCTTGTGTTATGAGTGCACCTATTTACTTTCTGTACTGCAAATATAGGGGTAATTGTATCTATCTGAGACAAGCTGCTATTTGCTTATACACTCAAGTTTCTCTTCTATTCAGCAGATATTTATGCAAAATGCAAATATGAGTAGTAAAAGAAATTACTTACTAAGTCAAGGTAATGCCATATATCAATAACAAATTGACATGAGTGAGGTGACCGCTATGCTTTAGGAGAGCCATGTGGTCAACATTTTTATTTCTTTACCATAATAGATGGATGGAGAAAAAAAACTTTATGCTTTGCAGGAAAATATATTAGCTGACTACTTCTGCAGACTATGAATCCCAAGGTTAGAAAGCCAGGCAACTTAACAGTAACACCTATCTCTCAGATGTTGAATTTCCCTTTTAAGATAATCTTTCCCAAAGATCATTTCTGGAGTACACGCTGTGTTTCCTATGTTTTCAGACCATATTAAAATAAGTAAGCATTAGAGCAATGCTTAAATGATAGTGTACAATAAGACTCAGAGCAAAACACAAAATTACTATGAGCACTGTAAGTTTCACATAGGCACAGCAATGCAAGTTTTACCATTCTAAATATTTCAGAACTAGCAGTTACCTTCTGTACCAATCCTAGAGAGTGATATAAGAATGTTATTCCTTCCAGGATGAATTCATAAAATTGGGTGCTCTGTCATGCAGAGGTTACTGATTTAACTTCAGATGAACTAGTTAAGATGCAAGAACTGGTTAAATTGCCTTAACTTTAGATTCTTCCAAGCTAGGATGAAATTTTTCTCTGCAGAGTTAATTAGCTTAGGCATCAAACCAGCAATTTTCACAAACTGACCCAATTATCTCTGCATGATACAACATTGGATTGTGTCTGAGCCCAGAGTATGTTTGTCTACTTAATGGAAAAATTACCCATAGGTTGTGCCATTGAAAATACCACTGGGCCCTCCAGGATGAGGAATAGTTCTTTTTCTGCTCACCAGAGAATCACAGAATCATTATTGAACTGTTTGGGTTAGAAGGGACCTTTAAAAGTTGTCCAGTCCAACTCCCCTGCAATGTAAGGGACACCTACAGCTAAATCAGGTTGCTCAGAATCCCCTCCAGCCAGACATTGAATGTTCCAAGGATGAGGCATCCACCACCTCCCTGGGCAACCGTTCCAGTGCCTCACCACTCTTATTGTAAAGAACTTCTTCCTTATATCCAGTCTAAATTTCCCCTCTTTTAGTTTGAAACCATTTCCCCTTGACTTATCGCAACAGATCTCACTGAAGAGTTTGTCCCCTTCTATCTTCTTTCATATTCATAGATAATAAGAACATGGAGAGTACTCTGCTATCCTGCTTTTTTCTCACTTTTTTTTTTGTTAACTACCTCTTTCTTATTTTTATTTTTTAAAATCAGTATCATTGTAAGTAAAGGGCATGGAGAGGCCAGGGTTCTCATTTCCAGAATGCAACATAATGTCAAATATTTTTCACATCCAGTTCATTATCTCTCAATTTTGTCATAGTTGAATGCCCTCACTAACTTTGATAACAGCTCCAATTCCAGCAGAATACTGTAGATTTTCTACACTGCATTAGAAATGCCAGTGAGCTACCAGTGACTTCAGATAGACTTGGAGCTTCAAGAAAAATTTCTGACAGCACAGTTGTACTGACAGTGCAATATCCTTATGAACTGGATTACAACAGTATCTCAGCTTCTCACTGTATTCATAAATTTCACAGTATCACAGAATATCCTAAGTTGGAAGGAACCCATCAGAATCATTAAGTCCAAATCCCAGCTACATACAGAACCACCCAAAATTTCAAACCCTATGCCTGAGAGCACTGTCCAAATGCTTTTCAAACTCTGTCAGGTTTGATGCTGTGACCATTGCTCTGGGGAACCTATTCTAGTGCCCAACTACCCTCCCACAACTGAAAGATGCACTTCTCTCTTTTTCAAAGGACAATGAATATATGACAAATTTAAAGATTTAGCCAATTTTACAAGCAAGAAATCTATGTAATTTGTGACAGATTTAGGGTTAGAATATTGGTCTTCAAAAGGCCAATGTGGGCCACTGATCAACTTCTGCAACAGTTACAGAAGTTCTATTACTTTAAATAGTGCAACATACAAAATGAAAATAAACAAATGAAATATAAAATGTAAGGTGGAATGCATCATATTCTGTAGAAACTGGAGTACATGAAATTACACTGATAATAAGAATATCCTGGGCAGAAATATAGTCGTTACCTACTATACCCTCAGGAAGCACATTAAAGTAACAAATTTATTTGTTCAAGTAATTTTTTACACATGGATAAGAAGTATCCATCACTGTAGTGCTAAAAGAGGAGACAAAGTGATAAGAATCAATAGATCTTAATCTCGGGTGAAGCAATATCAAGTCTGTTCATTGTAAAATCACCTACTTTCACTGTAGCCATTGCAAGCATTTCAGCATTTCTTTATTGTTTCCTGTTTTGCAGTGGGGAAGATAGGAATAGAATAAGATTTTCACTGCAAACCTCTTTTTCTCAAACTTTAAGTAAAGAGAACCTCATCCTCATAATCCATGTCAATCCATAATTTCAAGGAATTTGGAATCATAGTAGCTCAGTACATAGTAGCCTAGTGTTGTTCCAAAAATCTTTAAATTTAAAGCAAACCCACAGCCAGTGGGTTGTCTTTTCTGACAAAATTAGCTAGTATCATTCTAGCATGCTGCTTGATACCACGGAGATGCAAGTATGGAGTGGTCTTACAGCTCTGTGGCCCTACCAGAAACACGAGCGTTTCATGGATAAATCAAGACAGTGAAGTTAGTCTCTAGTAGCTGCCCTCAGAGCAAACACGCAATAAAAGTTGTTTCCCATACCACTTATAAAGCCAGTTGTACAGTATACTACTGCACTTAGAATAACCTCAGCGCTGTACATGATTTGAGATACCCTGGGATGAAACATAATACCCTATATTATATAGGATACTAAGTCCTTAACTTTTTAGAGACACTGATGCACACTAATGACCAGAGAGATCCTTTAAAACAGAAGAGATACCATCTCTAGAAAAGTCCCTGGACAAGTCACACCTTTGACAAGACACCGTAGAGTCATTTTTACATCCCTAGCAGTTTCTTTACAGCAAAGAATAAATTCTTGCATGTGCACATACTAGTCAACATAGATATGAATATAGCTAATGGAAACAACATCTTCTGTTTGCTGCTCCTAAAGAATCATTTGCACTAAGGATGATGCCTAACTACAATATGTGTTGTTATAAAAATGCCAAAACAAATGACAAGAAACTCATGCAGAAAACTTTCACCTTTAGGTAATACAGCTTCTTAATTCCTCTTTTTTTTCCTTCTAATGATTAATAACATTAACAACATTAATAACATGGATATAACCTCCTTAGAATGTAATCTCCTAGAAATTATTCTGCACTCCACAGTATTTAAGCTGTATATTATAATTGGTACTATAAGGGATCACAGAAGTATCTTTTCTGTCAGCTTGTGCCATTAAGAACCTCTAACCACAGATCATTGTTGTAACAGGTCATTATGGTCCACTGTGTCAGCTCATCTATTGGGATCTGTGCACTATAAGCATGACAGATTTCCTCTGCAGCAATTACAGCCTATTGTGACAATAGGATTTAATGAATATAAACAACAAACCACATAATCTGTTATTAAGAACACAGCCATGCACCCAGATGGGAATTACATTCCTAGACATTACCAGTTGCAGTTTTTATAATTGTGACTATTTCAGTCATTGTGTTTTTAGATGCAATGCTTTAATGTACCACTTCCCCCCCCAGAAAATGATGGGCAAAGTGCTACACCAGTGCAAATCCGTAGAATCACAATGGTGAGAATTTTGCTTAAGGCCTGTCCCCTGTCTTAGGGGCTTCAGATAAATATTTGTTAAATTAATACTCTTTTTCAAAGCATAAACCTGTCCTTCATATTAAAGATACGCAGTCTACAAAAGTTCACATTTTCCCTAGGGTGATTTCAAAAATCTGGCTCAATTACAGAGATTTTTAGGTTTTTAATTATGAGTTCTGGAATTGAGTACATCAAAGGTTACAATTACAGTGTTGGTACAGCTGTATTTTAATCTCCATAGTTGGGCACTACTGGAATATATGTACTTTAAGCAATGGAAAATTCGCTGTAAAGAATAAATTAATGAGGACCACATACGGATGAGTTGTATAAATGCCAGCATGAATCACCACAGTACTTATCATGTACTTTTGAGAAGGAATCTCCAATTAAACTTACTTCCACAGAATTCTTATTACCAAAAGGAGAAAAGACTCTTACCTAGCATGCGAACACATTTGGCATTCTGGTCAGGACTATCAAATGAGATTTCTCCGCACCTCTGGAAAAAAAATTCAATCAAAAATTAGTTAGTATGTATTTACATTTAATTAAATCCTCTTTGATACTATCCCTGTCTTCATCCTTTTACAGGGGATCTCTGATCCCCTCGTTCTATGTTTATGTTTGGCACAAGAAATGCTCAGATGAGTGTTGATAAAATGTCAAAATCAGAAGAATTGCAAGTAGCCAAAGCTCAAGGAAAAATAGACGTTATAAGGGTAGGTCAACAACACATTCAGGGCATTCACCATGCCCTATTTATTACCATACCTATAGCTTAAACAACTACCTCATCCATGTTCCTATTTGTTAGTACTGAACCAAGAATACAGGAGGCCTCATTTACTGCCTCATTTATAGTGGCTGATGTTCAGTCACTATACTAATCCAATGAAAGAACATCAATAGACTTAAGATTCGGATACATGGTGTTCGGTTATTTTCAAGGATGAGGCATCATTTGAGTCGTTTATGCAGACAGTCATGTCAGTTTAGCTGCCAGTAGGAACATAATTGGTGTGGCTCAAGGGTCTGATCTAGCTCTGATTAAAGCCAGTGTAGAGATCCCACTCACTACAGGAGTGGTTGCTTCAGGCACTACAAAAAAGATTCATTTTTAATTACCACACTCAAAGCCCTCAGTAAGGAGGCCCTTCTTAAGGATAGCCTCATATTTAATAAGTAAAAATGGTCCATGCTTCATAATCTACATTTTGTTGTTGTTGTTTCTGTCTATGATCAAGTGGGAATAAAAGCATCATCATGCAAGGCTGGGAAAATCACTGAGAGCTATTAATTTATCCTTCTCTTTCTTCCTCTCCTCTAATTTTTATACAGTATCTCTTTTTCATCACCTACATCTTTCTCTTTTACATTAAAATCCAAAATGGTTACTCCTGTCATTTTTTTTTTTTTTTTATTTTTTTTTTTAAAAGAGAAAAAGAAGAAGTGAAACTTAAAGCAAACATTTCAAAACTGCAAAGAATCAGGCAAGTAAAAACCTTGGAGCTTCAAAGAAAATAAAACACTGCAACAGTTTTATAAACGAATAACACATTTGGAACTCACTATTTTTTAAATTTACCTCCTTCATACTGAAATGAATACAAACAAATAAACAAAAGCCACCACCCACACACAGTCTTTTCATGTATCATATAATATATCTAAAAAGAGTAAACAGATGCCGGTATTAACCTTCCCAGGTGGGAGCACATACTTGTGAAAGACTGTAAAAGGAGAAACAGCATCTAGTATTTTGAAGTTGATTTACAATTGCTCTTACATCATTTCTCTCTGAGGAAAAAAATAAATTTGTTTTTTATTCTTCGAGGGAGAATATTAAATCATGGGCTTCTCTCCACACAAGTCTCCCACTGTCATCTTCACGACCATCAGTATTTTAGACAAATACAGATTTAAGAAATCACTTCAAAATTCACTGCCCCACTCAGCCCTGAATTTAAGCTGCTCTTTGTAAACTCCTGGTTAGTTTTGATTTAGTTCCTCAGACATATTGTATGTTTCAGATGTATTCACATAAATATCACATTTCAGGCAGGCAAATGGTATGTTACAATATCTAACAATAGTTATTAGCCCTAGCGTTATGAAACTGGGAAAGCAGCTAATGTTTTACCGAGTCCACTATCATCCGACAGGATTCATTATGATAATGGATGAACTGTGAAAATTTTGCAAGTTAAGATTCAGATAACCATACATAAGTTCACAGGCTTATCTGGATTTCCCCAAAATCCCTGAAATCCACAGAACTGGCTGAAGAACAGTCACCCTAGGAGATTTTTCATGTTCACAACAGCTCTATCTGAGCTTTTTCTTCTGCAGCAATTTTACAGAGGTTTTTCTGAAGGTAATGCCTCCTATTTATTTCCATGGAAACTGCAACATACAAAAAAAGCACAATAACACTGTTTGACTGAGCACATTCTCAGCTACAAAACTTTATTTTTCAACACAGACACCACCATTAAGTATGTATTTTCACCAGTGATGAACAAGAGCATGCATGCTCATATACGTTTCCATGTCAGATGCCATTCTGTCACACAGCAACAACATGTAATCAGACGTTAGTGGGAAAGTCCAATCTCCACTGCCATACCATCAACATCTGCCTCTGATGTTATCAACCAACATAATCACATTGGAGGCATTACTTTTGGATCAAATGTGTTATTTCTGATGTCAGGGACTGCTCAGAAATACATAAACAGGATGAAAAATAGGCTATTTCTGAACTGCTTAGAAGATATGAAAAAGATTTGGTTGGATTCTGGATGTGTAAAGTAGCACAGAATCGCAGTAGGGGCTCATTTTTGGTCTTTCAAATAATAGTTGTTTGGACATTTTTGTTGCTAGCTAATGTTTTCCATGAACAAGAGGTAAGGAATGACTTCAGGATTTAATTTTCAGAATTAAACTGAGACTGTGTCACCACTACTATGAATTCCTGCCAGGGCTGGTTAAGATTCTTCCTGGCCAAGTTCACTTTCCTTTCTGGGTTGGTTTGTTCCACCTGCTTGGGTTCTGGGGGTTGTACCAAGAGACAACGAGGCAAGAGTTTCTCAGCTCTGTATCCATTTCTAAACTAGGACTGAAGTAGCTGCTCATTCTCTCCTGCAAGTTTCTGAATTTTCTACAGAATCGGTAATGGATACATTTGAGGGTAGGAGCAGGACTTTGACCTCAGCTGCTAGTTATTCTGCTTTTGATTTCCACTGAGACATAAAGGAGGAATCACTCTGGATTTATCTGCTGTACACAGCAGACTTACTGCATGTGTGTAGATCATCTGTATAGCTGTTAGGGGAAGCAGAGAGAAACATGATATCCCTTCTAAAGATTGGCTAGTTTTCTGTACCCAATTTGAAGAGGCAAGGGTATCAATGGTGAGATGTTAACACCAAATATGTTAATAAATATGTTACCCACTTGGGAAGAGGAATAACCTTGAACAGGAGAGCAGCCTCTGAAGTTCATTTCTTGAAATCTCTGATGGGGATGGATTCATAGTCCTGACCGTATTTGAACCTTACTTGAATTATAAGATTTCATTCTTTAAAATAGGATTTAAACTTTTAAGCCACAGACAACCAAGTTTGAAAAGCCAGCTTGGTTAGTTAAAAGGTTATCCAAGCAGGAACAACGTTTATAGGCTTCTTTACTCCACTCTGTTTTTCGTGTCTTGAGTATGGTGTTCAGTATGTCTCTCTTCCTATATTACAATATAATAAAATGAACTACTTAATATACATCATCAGCTAAACATGACAGTAATAGGGGGGTAATCTTTTTGCAAATGATAGGGATTATTATATCTGTAAATAGCAGAGATATTAATTGGACATTGATTTCAAGCTCAATATCTTTCAAGAATCCCTTTGATTTCTTTGTTTTTAAAGTAACCTTAAGTTAATGTGGTTTGTTCTTACAAAGAGTAGAAGTAATAGTCTGCAAAACAACATTACTTAGTAAAATAACTTTTTCTTCCTTTTCTGAATACCTTGTATAATTCCTTATTTCTTTAGAAATCAGAATTAAAATGCACAAACACGACTGATTAACAAAAATAAGACAGGGCAAACAGCTTCTGTGTTTCTATGAAAAACTGGATTATCTCAAAGAAAAAGAAAGCTACTTCTATATAAATTTGTTTTCTATTGAATTCCTTTCCCCTATACCTTTAAAAAGTACTTGAATAAGTTCCTCTAGTATGCAAAAGAATCATTCTTACTACCCAATGATGTAGAGATGGAACATCTATTAGCGTGGAAAGCCACAGCACTTCTTAAATCTTTGTAATCTTTTATAATAACAACTGTTGCTGAAATTTAAGGGCAATATGTCATCAGGAGTCAGGCCACACGCTCTTCAGCTTCAGGCTGCCTGGGAGATCTACATTGGATTCATTTTGAGTGCTGATGCACTGTAGGAACTGAAAGAATTCCAATGTCTTATTAAACTTGCAGTATTTTCAGTTCAGTGTCCCCTCTCTGACAGAGGCAAGAGAAAGTATAGAATATACCACAGTAGGCTAACATCTATCCTGCTTGTAGCCTTTCCACAGTTACCTCTCCACAGAATAAAGCCTTGTGATGCTATCTGGTAGAGATTAAAACAATGTTTAAGTATAACAAGGAAATTCCATACCAGTACTCTGCACTTTCCTGACACGTACTTGAATACTTCTGAATTTTGCTGTATCCTTAAACATTATCTTTTTTGGCCTAAGTCAAAAAGTGAAGTCATGGTTTTTTCTTGTTTAGAAACAAAAAAATAGTTTTCTGTACATCATACCTTTATTAAAATTTAACAGGCCCACATTTTATCAATTTTCTCACTATTGGATGATTGCACAAATACACCTTGTTCACGTGATCTTGAATTTTCATCTCTGAATTTTTTCAATTAAAATGTGTAGAATGAATACAACTAGAGAATTGCATGGATAGACATTAATATTGGCAGCAAATAACACTAGAACGTTTTAGCCGACTAAATTGACCACAATTGATAAAAATGACTATAATTATTATAGTCTTAATATAGTATTAATTACATATTACCTCTTTGGGGCTTATTAACAGTTCCCATAATGATTACAGGTGAAATTTTGAATTTTACTGGAAATGTAGACCTGAATTTAGCAAGTCTTCCATTAGCCTGTGAAAAGAACATTTAAAAGTGTGATACAATCACAACATACTGACAATAGCCAGCATGATCTGATTCAAATCAGATCAACAGCCAGAATAGCACATTTGCTGCCCTATGGATTCATCATATTGCTATGTTATTCTTATTAACATACCGTATTTCATGGGTAAAGTTCTAGCTCCCCTACTTTGTATTAGAATTGAGGCACAGCTAAACTGAAAATTCTGAATGTTTTAACACATGCATGAATTTCTACAGAGTAAAACGGCCATATCAGAGCAAACTTGTTTAGAGTTCTTCCCTTTCTATGCTTTCCCA